TTTCTTTAACAATTACCGTCTTAATCCCCATTTACGGTGATACATAACCATCAAAACTTTGCATCAAAAGGTACAACAGGTTTCCCTAGTCTGTATGATTAAAAAAGATTTTCTTTAAATGTTTTTAAGTGGTTTTTTATTAATTTTTCTTTAATTTTTTAAGTGGTTAAAGTACTCAAAAAAAGAGTTTTTTTATGTGGTGTTTGATGTGTATTATATTATAGTTTTTAATAATTTCACGAGTAATTTCTTAATAGCCGATTTACATTTTTACAACAGTATATAAATATTACTCATTTATTTTTAACTTTTTTTTTTTTTACTTATAATTTTTATTTATTTATTTCCTTTGCCTTTTAATAAAATTTACAATAAAAAAGATCGTACACGTATAATAAATGGCCAGAGCAAGAAGAAGACGTATTTTGTCTTATCGCCGAGCCCCGTTTACATTGTCGCCTTCAGTCTATGTGAAAAGTTAAATATTTACAGGTTGAAGATTATATAGTAAAACACAATATATTACAATTAGTAAATCGTAAAATAAGATATAGGGGAGAGTGTGTATGAAAAAGCCAGGTTTTAAAAGAGTTGATGCCATTATATCTAACTTACTGGCACGCGACCATAACTACATTTTAATTTTTGTGTGGCAACACTGGATATCTGTCAACCACAAAAAATTTAGAGTTTTACTAAAATAAAAAGCGTCGTAAGGGTCTACTAAAGATTTTGAAAATAAAAAGTAAATTTTTTTAGGGTATACTTATTTATTTTATAAGATTATAAAATTTATATATATTATATATATATAATATATATATATAATATATTATTTTATAAGATAAAGGATATTTTATTATGATACAATACATATATGCTGCATTGTTATACATATGTTTGTCCTTTTTCCCACAAATAATATTAAAATAAAGTTTCGCTAAAAATGTTTAATTTCAGGTTATTTTTTTTTTTTTACCATACAATTTTTTGAACGAGCCACTTTTTTATGCTATAAAAAAGCCGGCTTTTCTATTTAGCTTTTTTAAAGATAAATAATTGTTTTGCGCATTAACGACTTCATTGTTTTTCTTAATGCTTTATTGATCGTATTCATATCCTACTAGAAATACCTTGACAACGCGCCGAGATTTTTATTCACTGGAGGGCGAGCGAAGCGCTAATAAGTAAAGCGGATCCGGACATGAAGAGCAAAAAACTATAACAATAACAATAAGAGCTACTTTAAAAGTAAAACTACGATAAAATAAACTATAACATACTACTTTTATAATATAATAAAATTTATATAGAAATTCATTTTTATGACAGTTTTAAAACTTTTTGCCTGGACTCCTTGGAGCATCTTGGAGATTTTATTATTGTTAGTTTTCTAATAAACATATTTGTTAAAGTGCAACAATGTCGGTCATAAATACCAAATTAAAACTTGTTTGATACAGATAAAAATAGACCATTTCGCTATTAATTTTGCGCGAAATCAGCGAAAAGCATTATGGGATAACCGAGGCGCAAACAAATCAAAACAATATTTTAAAGGAAGTAAAAAATTATCTATACATGGGTGGGGGTGATCACTGCATTGTTCAAAACTGTAGCAATGATAGAAGGTATCCGGAAAAGTACATTGTTAAAGACCATATTAATCATTTTAAAATTGGACGACCTACTGATGTTTATCCTTACCCTACTGAGTATTTAAATGGTTACGATATTAAGTTAAAAAAAAAAAATCTCTTTTAAAAAGGATATCCATAATTAAGAAAAAAAAGTATGTTACTGATTACCAGAGTAGTCATGATCAAAACGAAGATAATCATGATCAAATAGAATTTACTGAGCCTATTATTATTCATTATGATCATGATTATGCTTTACCTGTTGGAAAAGATTTTCTTGTATTTGAAATAAATGACGTGGAAGACTTACAAATATTTATTGACACTCCTAAAAGATTACTTAAAAGACCTTTGTTATTAAACATCGTAAAAAAGTTTGTCGAGTAAGTTTTTATTGAAGTCACAAGCAGAGTTTAGTTGGGACAGAGTATGTCATTCCGATAGGTTAATAAAGTTTTATACTGGGTGCACAAAAAAAGTATTAATGTTTTAATTAGTAAAGAGGAAAAAAAGTATGACAAACTATACTACTACAAGGGGAAACTTTTACAAACTTTAAAATTAAAACAAAAAAAACTAGAAAAGCCTGGAAGAAAAAGCGCTATAACAATCCAGGATGAAATTCTGCTAATATGCATAAAACTACGATTAGATTTGGCTATTCAAGATTTAGCATTTAGATTTAGATTTCCCAGTCTCATTGTTCAAGTATCTTAACAACCTGGATTACTGATTTTGGAAATGAGTTAAAGCCTCTTCTTTTATGGCCCACACGAGAAGCAAACTTATTGTATAAAGCAATACATTTTTCTGGAAAGTTATACAATGTAGAAGGTATTATAGACTGCACTGAGCAAAAAATTCAGAGACCATCAAATGCAAAAACACAGTATCAAACATTTAGTACTTATAAAAGTAGTAACACATTGAAAAAGTTAGTTATTACAACAAAAACTGGTTCTTTCAGTTTTATCTCTAAAGCTTACGGTGCACTATGCATCGCGAAGCGGAAATAGGATTTTACTTACTTTTCAGAAAAAAATTTTCAATTTCAATATTTTAAATATTTTTTAACTGAAACAGGTTAGTATTAGTTAATAAAAAAAAGTTTTTTTTTAATTTTTTTTTAAATTTGCCTTTTTAGGTGCGGGATTTTCAGGGGTAAAAAAACCCATGTTTTCACTAAATCTTTAAATTACATAAGATAATTTTCGAATTTCTTCATTTTTTTTGCACATTTTCTAAGAAAAGAAAAAAAAAATGTTTGGATCATTGTTTTTGGGTGTCTGTAAAGATTGATCGATGAGACCATGTTACTACAGAGGTAGCCAGTTTTTTATTTTTTTAAAATTTTCTCAAACAAATTGACTTTTTATAAGTGAAATAATATTCTGGCTACCTCTTTAGTAACATGCTATAAAATCAATTCAAAAAAGGTGGATTTATTAAAAACCGGTTAGTTAGTTTTTGTCAAGAAATAACTGAATGCGGGCGAAACATTCTTTTCTAGTCTTTAAGTTATAACCTAAGTTTGGCTCTCATCGTGATTAAGAATTTTTTAAAAATGGTTACTTTTAATCTTAGCAAACTTCTGGCTGATAATTTTCCTCCAAGGCATATTTTCACGAGTAAAATTGTATCTGAATGTGCTAAATTTTTGCAGTCCAAGTTTTTATCACTTTATGCTGATTGCACTGTGAATTTCAACATTTTCAAAAGTCTGGCTTTTAATTTAATAAAAAAATTTAATGAGTGTGGAAAAGGAAAAAAGTTCTTTCTTACTAAATATAAACTTTTTTTGGATCAAAATCAACAATGCAAATATCTTTTGTGAGTATAATATATTCTATATTGATTCATTATAAATAAGTAATAATTATTGCATTATAGTATATATATATATATATATATATATATATATATATATATATATATATATTTTCTGCAAAAGAGGTTAAACGAGCATGACCAATTCGAGCAGTTTTGTTTTCATTAATTCTGGCTTCAATAGCACTCTCAAACAAAGAACCTATCGGATTCTTAAAATACCTTATAAAAGAAGTACCATGAACTATCACTCTATGCACAGATTGTGACATAGGTATGGTTTTTAAAAATTTATCATTAGTTATGAGTGCAAATAGATGTTCAGATTTCTGTTTGAAAACCTTTATATCCGGTCTTGTAGTTGTTCTGTTTATATCAATGAGTGTATCTCGAAACAACTTAATCATTCTGATATCCAAGTTTAAAATTCTCCCTGTCACAATCGGGTTATTAAAAAATTTGCAAGCAACATTTCCAGTATTGGTTGTTCCACATCCTTTCCTGACAAAAGAAACCCTTATATTCAGTTGTATCTTGAATAAATGCTGGAATTTTTTTTTGTTTTCAATAAATTATTTACTCTTTTGTGATGGAATATTTCTTCCTTGCTTAACACCTGGGAGTTTACAAGCAGTATTGAAAATCCACTCCATACAGCGCATCCATAGATGAAGACTGCAAATTCCAAGTTTCAAAACATGCTTGTTTAAATTAATTTTTTTTTTCCGAATAGTTTTCAAGTTAAACTCCTTAGAATTTGCAAGGCATAACATGGCAGAACTGAGATGAAATATTTTTTAAGCATATTTGATACAACAGCGTTTAGTGTTTTGCCATTGTTCATTGTGGTATAAATAGTTGACAAACTAGACTTTACTACAAAAGTACTTTCACCAAGTTTAAATTCAATATTCTTCAATAAAAAAATTTCATTTTTCAAATGTTCAAATTTTTCCTGAATAAAACTAGTCTCTTTTGCAAAACAAAAAAGAAGATGACAGGTTGCATCTGGACTATTTGGAATTAAATTTTTCCATTTTTTTTTTCTCCACTTCGGATTTGCAATGACAAATTTGAACCATATAAAACCGTATATATATATATATATATATATATATATATATATATATATATATATATATATATATATATATATATATATATATATATATATATATATATATATATATATATATATATTCATTGATATAAACAGAACAACTACAAGACCGGATATAAAGGTTTTCAAACAGAAATCTGAACATCTATTTGCACTCATAACTAATGATAAATTTTTAAAAACCATACCTATGTCACAATCAATGCATAGAGTGATAGTTCATGGTATTTCTTTTATAAGGTATTTTAAGAATCCGATAAGTTCTTTGTTTGAGAGTGCTATTGAAGCCAGAAATAAGGAAAACAAAACTGCTCGAATTGGCCATGCTCGTTTAACCTCTTTTGCAGAAAACACTAGGGATACAGCTAATTATTTGTTTATGACATCTGATATGTACCTCTTTTGCAAAAAAAATAAAATGGTTAAAAAAAGAGTGAAAACAAAATAGTTTAAGAAAGCAAAGTGACAGTTCTTCTGATAACTGCTTAAAATAAAGGTAAAATAGTTTTATTATTAATATTGTTAATAGTTTTGATTGATTTTTTTTTTGGTTAGGCAATATCATAATTTTGGTTAATTACAATTTAATCAATTTTAACAAGCAATTAACTATTTTAGGAAGTAAGACCATGAAGAATCATACTGATGAGCTGTTCTGCGTTGAATTTTAAAAAAACGGCTATTTTCATAGCCACAAGTTATTAAAAACATCTATTAGAATAGAACGTTGAGAAACTGTGAAAGAATGCAAAGAGCCAAGTATCATATGATAGCAGAGTTGTTTATTATATTCAATGATACTGTTTATTATGAAATAGTGTTCATATACATAGTTTGTAAAATTCTATAAAATATAGGCGCCTACTTTTTTTTAAATAAAATCATCCGGACTTGTGTAGTTTTCCGGACAAATCTAGAATTAGTCCGGACTAACCGAAAAAAAAATACAATAAATTGTTTTTTTATGAAAACCGAATATGATTTTTTTAAATATAGAAATATAAATAAAAATTTGATGTCTTGTGAAAAAATAAGTTAAATATTTTAAGTCCTTCTTTATTTATATGCCTATTTCCTCAATTTGTATAAGAGCAACGCATAGTGCGGTGGCCGAGCTTCAGATAGACACATTACAGAGGACTGCAGTGTTATTAACATGTTTTCTGAAGGTTCTTTGTGCTTGGCGGACAGAGGTTTTAATATCCAAGATTTGCTTTTGGAAAAAAAAGTGGAATTAGTTTGCCCACCTTTTAAAAAAAAAGGACAACATTTTACACAAGCAAAAATTCTATCAGCCAAAGAAATTGCTCAATCACGTGTCCATGTAGAACGCTCAATTCGTTGACTTAAAGAGTTTAGGATTTGTAACAACGAGTTATCATCAACAATGCTAAACCTCATTGATCACATTTATTTTATTTGTGGGGCTTTAAGTAATTTACGACCACCAATTGTAAAATAATTTATTTGACATAAATTAAATCTTAATAAATATATATATATATAAAAAAAGATATTTTAATTTTTTATACTCTTTTTTTATATATATAAAAAAATTACATTATAAACCATGAAAAATATTAAGAATAATGTTTTCAAAATGTGTTCAGATCGTTATCACATATTTTCTGTAGCTTAAGATTTATGATGTCATTATTGAATGTTTCATTAAGTTGTTTACTTTCTAAATCATTAAAACACTTCTTTATGAGATCATATAAAATTAATTTAACCATTTCCTCTTTTTCGAGTTTCTTTATAAATATTTCAGGCAAAATAAATTCTGTAAAAAATAATTGAAACTTTTGTTCATTTTTAATATAGCTAGGATCCGAATAAATTCTTTCACGGTTTTGATCACTGGCTAAACATACATAGAAATCAGCATGTGGATAGCCACTAATAAATAACTGATCTTGTATTTGCGTACTGTATCTATAACTAGTTTTTAGTGTGTATGTGTTTGCACAAGATTTGTTTTCTAGGAAACTTTGCGCACTTGGAGCATATTCAGAGATTTTTTTTTGCCTAAATGTCCATGGGCATTTAATTTCAAGCAAACCAAACCCACAGCATGTACAACTTGTAATACCATCTGGGCTTTCTACAAGATTAGGTGTTTCAATTGATATTATTAGGCCGGTTTAATAACATTTAAAGTTGTTATGATTTTTTTTCATTTCCTTAATATATCTTTTTCTGGCATAGGACTCAAACATGTTACCCCATTGAATTTGACTTACACATTGAATTAAATTTTTCACATTTAAATGCTAAACATTTATTTCCATAACAACATTCTATTTGAGCTACTAATTGGTCTACGGTGGGTGGTAGTGTTTCATTTTTAGTTGTGCTTGCAGAAGGTAGTTTTTTTTTTTTTTTAAATATTCTGACTGTATATTTGGCTTTAGGCAACTTACAGCATTTTTCCCATCGGTGGCTTCTGCAACTGCTTACCAATCTTCCAATGTAAAATTTGACTGCCTAAAATGATAAGGACGAGGATCGTATAAAGATCGACTGAGTTTAAGACATTTATTTTCTATACTAGGTTTGACTTTTTTAATAGAGATATTGTGTAATATATCTGGCTCATGAAATTTTCTTTTTTACGTTCTAGTCCCCCACTTTTGTTTTACTGACGTACAAGTTACATTTTCTCCTAATCGCATATGCTCTTCAACAAACAATAACAAAGCAAGTATATGTTTTCAGCTTTCTCCATAACCGGCTATGCATTTGCATTCTGCAGATAATATACTTCAACTTTTATTTAAACATACCCATGATTCATATACTTCATTGTTTATTCTTGTTTGAGTTACTATAGTTCCTTTTAAATAACAAAATTTTACAGCATCTGATAAATTATTAAAAGATACTGAAGTTACGTGATCTAAAAAATAAAGAGAATGTCCTTTTTTCAAAGCTTTAGAGCTATGAGTATTAAAAGCATAAGTTTCAATATCCGAATAAGTTGTAGTTGGTAATAACTTTATTACTATTTCTTTATTTATTACCCAATTTCCGATTTCATTAGGATGGGGAAGCTGGACACCTGATTTTAATTTCAATTTTTGAAAAGATCTAGATTTGATTTTTTCAGTCTCTTCTTGCATGGTTTTTTGAACTGGTAACTTAAGTTTACTGGCATAATACACGATTTTTAGCAACTTTGCTCTATTTTGACCAAGAGGAATACTCCTTGCTTGAAGAAATTCTTTTAATTTTTCTACTTTCCAACTTTTTATTTCATCCATAAAGACCTTATTTTTTTCGTCATCAGAGGAAGAATCAGACATAATTTTAAGTGACTTTCTTATTAATAATGTTTGTTGTTATTGTTTGCGTCTTGATTATCCCATAATGCTTTACGCAGAAGTTCGCGCAAAATTAATAACGAAATGGTCTATTGTTTCATCAAAAACGTTCGACAAATTTATCTGACAACTGCTCAAATAAAATTTAAAAAAATATGCACCATTGAACAATATTATCAAAGGGAATAACAAGACCTCCTCTATTCAAGCCATCAATGTAGGCACCACATTTGTTATAATAAAATTGTGTTTCAGTTTGATCAAAGCCATTTTTTCTTTGAACATAACTACCAATATATATAATTGAAAGTAATGATTCTGCTTGAACTTTATCCTCGAGTTCTGGCAAGTTATCTAAAATTTCGCACTCCTGCTCATTAAAACTTCGAAAAAAGTTTTTACAGGAATGACCATTGGTACAATCATTAAAATAATCTATTTCTAACTGTAAAGAAAGTTTTGCATGTTGGATTATAACTTTTCCTATGACAGATTGAATAGTAATTAAATAGGTTCCTCCAGAACCCTGGCAGAGCTTACTAAACTTTTTCTCTAATGGATCATATGTGAACCATCACAGGATAAAATAATCATTTCCGCAATCGAAAAGATATCTTGCAACGTTGGCTAACCCCCCATATACACATGAGAAATACATTCAGAGTTATCTTTTGTAAGCTGCTTAATATGTTTTGTACCTGATTTTTTCATTTTTTATATCTGCCCCATCTAATAAGAATAGCAGGTTTTTGTCTGTGTGTGATCTTACAACTCCACGGTACTCATCTTTATAACGAATTTCTGCTATAACACATTACAAACTTTCCGAAACTTCACAAATATAGAAATAAATTTGATGGTGTCAATAACTTCATCTTTTTTAAATGGATGATTTTTAAAAGCTGCAACTGTTTCTTCACAGAAAACATCACATGTTTGCTACCTTCAAATTGAAAAACTAGTTCTCTGCTTTTTTCAGTTAACCAATTATTACGACATGAACGTAATCAAACAACAAAAATGTGTTTTGCTTATCAACCCACCAAGGATTTTCTTCAACTTTATTCATCGTTGTAAAAAACTTTTGGTTTACTCTATTTCCGTCAGTAATAATTGACAACAATTTTGCATTGGGTTGATTGTTAATTGTTTCAATAATTGGTTTGCATTGTTTAAAAAGAAAATCAGAATCTAAGTCTCTGGTCCACCAAATAAACATACCATTATAGCCAACATGGTTTTGGCAAGGACATTGGGTTGATCGGCAGAATTTCTAAATAATACATCTCTATGATAAGTTAATGTCGATTAAATATAAACTTTATCAATATACATTTACGTTGTGTATTTTCAATACTTATCATAACATTTTTTGAAAAATCTTGTGAACCGACTTTTGAAGTGATTCTTGTCAAAGTTCTAATACTGGGTTATTTATAGTCATTAAAAATTTTGCTGTACAGAGACCTGGATATAGCAAAAATTCAAATGCTCGAATGATTATATCAGGATAGTAAGTAAAATCACTAAATTTCTTCTGAGACATACAGTCCATATGTTCGAATAATACATTTTTTTTATGACAAATATCTTTATTTTTAAAGTAACGTATGATTTTATCAAAAACTGACCAATACTTACTACATGATGTCTTACTTGATATTAAAATGGAAATACTGAAGATGAAACGAAGTTAATGTTAAAAAGACCCAAGATGAAACGAAACTAATGTTAAATTCCTATTAATGATAACTAAAAACTTTGAAATACCACATACAAATTCTTTTGACTGAATGTATAAACATCATTATTGTCATTTATGTTTTATACAATAAGATCATTACTGCGCAAGAGTCTTTCTTTTATGCGATCAAATTGAAAAAAATCATGTTCCATAAAGCTATCAAGTTCATCTGATTTTGTATTTCTTATACTGGACAATGACAGTATTGTTATTCTGGGCTTAGAAATAAGTAAACTAAGACATATAGCTGGTATGTTAGAAAAGACAGTTCGTGGTTCTTTAGGACAATTTTTTCCACAATAAAATGTAAAAGATTTGCAATCTATAGGTCAATGAGGTCGGCACACCATAGTGTATTTATTTACAATCAGATTTTATCTTGGGATAGCCTTTATCAACTTTTTTCATATTCATCACAAGGAAATCAATCAGCGGACACTTTATAGTTAATGAAGCATAACCACTACTACAGCATGGGACACAACATTTTAAAGGCATAACTGATAACTTTTTGCTTGATAAATGTGTTGCAATTTACAAAAAGATAAACCTCTTTTACTGCTAATTTTTCTCGTTGCTGATTAATTAACGCTAAAAAGTCGCCTCAAATTTGTGTTTAGACCAATCGCTGTTGAGTAAAAACATCGCAAAACAAAAATGTTATATTTGATGAAAATCTTTCCATATAGAGTCGGCCTCCAGTCAAAAAATATTTTATCGCCGCTCTGTTTTATGTCAAGGAATGTATTTCTAGAAGGCCATGATCATATTCTATTGAAATCAATTG